GAGAGAGAGAGAGAGAGAGAGAGAGAGAGAGAGAGAGAGAGAGAGAGTCTTTCTCGGTTGCTGTCCACCACCTTAAAGCTCTCACTGAATCTGAAGGTCACTGGGCAGCCACTGCTCTCCAGAGCTCCTCCCACCTCTGTCTCTCAGTGCTAAGATAACAGACACCTGCCATCCCTGCTGGGATCTGAAATCAGGGTCCTCAAGCTTTCACGACCAGAACTTTATTTACTAAGCCTTCTCCTTAGTCCCTCTATCATGGTTTTTAAGGAGCTGGCTGTAGCTGGGTATTAAAATGGTTTCCAGTGCTGTGTATTAATAAAACAAGTGTCCGGCTGCAGAGAAGAAGAGCGTCTTTCAAGTCAGTATAAATGAAAAGGACCTCAGGTAAACAGGACAGGGCACTGTTTCAGAACAGCCATGTGGTCGGAGGTGAAGATAGAGCTAAGGAGGCAGAGGAGGGGGCTGGGAGGCAGCTGTCATCTGCTTCCTTGTCCTGTAGATTTTCATGGACTTTGTGCCTCCTTCTACACATCTCACTTGTTTCTGGCTCTCTTTGATCACACGTCATTAGGCACAGGGCTGAAAATGACCTTGAGTGAAACACCCAACTCCAGCACCGTGGAGCCGTCAGTTGTTCAGCAGCAGGGGTGATGTACTGTGGGCCCCTTGTCTGATCCTGCTGGCTGGAGCTGGAAGGAGTAAGGGAATGACCTTCCTTCTATTCCCTTAGCAGAGGATAGGCAGGGACAGTGTCCAGAGCTGAGACAGCTTCCACAAGGCCCCTCAAAATATGCCTATGCAACCAATCCCAGCATCGTGTGAGGGTTGCTTTCTTGCTTCAATATCACAAGCATATAATTGGGGTCAAAGTATTGAGCATTTCATGAGTTGGTAGCAAGTTGCTTAGGGCTCTATTAGAAACACCATTTGTGGAAGTCTCTATAGATATGACGCGGAGAAAACCAGAGAGAAGCAAAAGCAGAGAAACAGAGGCGCAGGGAAGGAGGGCTTGAGAAAAGGCTCACTGTTAAGAATACTGGCTGCTCTTTCAAAGTGCCCAGATTCAGTTCCCAGCACTCACATTGACTGTCTTACAACATTCTTATATGGTGTTCATTTAAGCAGGTGCACGCATGTGCACACCCCCCCCACACACACATAAATGCAAAGAATTAAAGTCTAAAAGCAGAGAAATGAGGTTGATTCTATCTTCTCCTTCTCTAGTGAAAACACAGGGGCGGGAGGCAAGGCAGGGGCAGGCTTCCCAAAGCTCTGGAGACATGGGCTGCAGTCTCAGGGCCTGATCCCCATAGCCCGCTCCTAGCAGGGTCTGATATTGGGATAGGGATTAGACACATTGTGAAGGTATTTCTGAACCAGCCTGAATGCAGTACTGGAGCTTATGAGAAAAATTAATAGAATTATGGAGGGGGTGGACTCACACTCTATATGGATGCTTGTTCCTTTATATTTCGCTCTAAATTCAACCTTATTTGAGGATTATATTATTATATCGACTGTTGTCTGACAAGAAGCCACTTAAGGGAAGAGGGTTTATTATGACTTACAGCCCCATCGCAGCGAGGATGGCATGGGGGTAGGGGGGAGCTGTTCACTGTATAAGCAGTTGGGAAACAGAAAACAAAGGGACGTGGGGCTGGGCATAAAACATCAAGGCCTGCCTCCAGTAAGACTTTCTCTAGCGTGACTATACTTGCTAACAATCACCCAATCTTTCCAAACAGTGTTACCAACTGGAGACCAAGTGTTCAAAACCTATGGGGGACATTTCACATTTAAACCCCAAGGATTGTATACTTTCACTGTTCCTACGCCTAGCCATATTTTTCAAAGGTTTCATTTTTTAACTTTATGTGTACGAGCATCTTGCCTGGCATGTATGTATTGTGCCATGCGAGTGTCTCATGCCCATAGAGTTCAGATGAGGGCATCAGATTCCTTAGAACTGGAATCACAAAAGTTGCCAGCTGCGTGGAACCAAACCCAGGCCCACTTCAAGAGCAGCAAGGGCCCTTAACTGATGAACTTTCCAGTTCTCGTTTAGCAACCCTAACAAGAGGTCTGCTTTGGGCAAAAGGAGTGATGAGTAGAAATGCTTGCTGCTGCCCCACTAAAGGGAGCGTGGCTGTGGGAGAGCTGAAAGGGCAAAGCCATAATAAAGAGACAGCATCATTTATCAATGAGGCTCTGCCCCAGGCTGGAGAGGGAACGGGAGAAGGGGAGGAAAGGGCATAGGAGAGACAGAAGCCTGAGCCACAGGCCCCCAGACTCACCTCCGCTGGTCACTGTCTGTCCTTTCCCCTTCCAGGGTGTCACGCCTCATCATCTCACTTCGTGCGTGGGCTGCCAGGCACTTACACCATGAGGACCAGAGACCTGATGCCTTCTTGGATCGATTCCATGGAACTGAGCTGAACGAGGTGTCCAGCAGGGAAAGCAATGCCCAGCCCAACCCAGGTGGACAGGAACCACCAGACAGAGGGTAAGAAACAGAAAAAGGAAGAGGGTCACCTGCACACCAGATGCACACCACCTGCACACCAGCTGTACACCGGCTGCATACCACCTGCATGCCATCTGCACACCGGCTTCACACCACCTGCACGCCACCTGCACACTGGCTGCACACCACCTACACGCCACCTGCACACCAGCTGACACAGCAAAGAAGCACATGGGTCCAGCTTAGATGCCCTGAGGAGACCCCAATCACCATCCCTGTGAGTCCCTTCTTTCAGGAAGCATGTGTCCTTCAGGGAATACTACATTCCCTAACATTCCCCATCCAGAGTTCAGGAAGCCCCTGAACCAGAGTTCCCAACCTCATGTAATCCTGACCCCAGATTGCATAAAGCGGCTTTTTTCCCCTGCTACTGCTGAATCAGGAAAATTTATTTTAAAGGAACCGCAGCATGCCACCAGCAAGCAAAGCCCATTAGGAGAAAAAAAATGAGGCTAAACTTTGTTTTTTAGTGTGTAGAATTCTTTTGCAAGCCCTCTCAGGTTTTAAGGGGATTTAGTTGGCCACGTGGGCGCCAGTTTGTTGAAATGAGGCTGCTTGTTGGTTCCCACTGCTCAGTTCCAAAATAATCACACAGAAACTATATTATTTAAATCACTGCTTGGCCCATTAGCTCTAGCTTCTTATTTACTAATTCTTACATTTTAATTTAACCCATTTCTAGTAGTCTTTGTATCACCACGTGGCTATGGCTTACTGGGTAAAGTTCCATCTGGATCCTGCAAGGCTACATGGCTTCTCCCTGACTCCACCTTCCTTTCTCCCAGCATTCAGCTTAGTTTTTCCCCTGCCTACCTATATTCTGCCCTGCACAGGCCCAAAGCAGTCCTTTATTAACCAGTGGTACTCACAGCAGACAAAGGGGAATCCCACATCACCCTGGCACTGCATGTATACGTACACACATACACATGCAGGCAAAACCCCTGTGCACATAAATAAAAACAAAGGAAACAAAAATTAATGGTGTGTGGTACTTGAGAAATGACACTGAGGTTGTCTTCTGACTCTCACTCACACACATCGCACAAGCATTCAGGGACTTTTCTTTTTAAGGAATACTGCAGTGAAGCCAGATTCTGCCTTCTGTGCTGGAGAAACTGATTCTATTGTTGTGGGGAGAAACCATGACCAAGGCAACTCTTATAAAAGAAAGCATTTAGCCGGGCAGTGGCGGCGCACACCTTTAATCCCAGCATTTGGGAGGCAGAGGCAGGTGGATCTCTGTGAATTCGAGGCCAGCCTGGTCTACAAGAGCTAGTTCCAGGACAGGTTCCAAAGCTACAGAGAAACCCTGCCTTGAAAAACAAACAAAAAACGTATTTAATTGGAGGTTTGGCTGCAGGTTCAGAGGATTGGTCTATTATCATCCTGGCAGGGGGCATGATGGCCGGGAACACGGTAGCGGAACACGGTAGCAGAACACGGTAGCAGGCAGGTGTGGTTCTGGGGAGGTAGTTGAGAGCTACATCCTGATCTATAGCCAGAAAGAGAGACTGTGGGCCTGGCTTGTGCTTTTAAAACCTCAATGCCCACTCCCAGTGACACCCTCCAATTTCCTCCAACAAGGCCACACCTCCTAATCTTACTGATCCCATCAAAACCAAGCATTCAAATATATGAGCTCATGAGGGCCATTCTTATTCAAACCATCACAAAAGGTGTCAAGGTCCCCAGCTGAGATTCAAGGACCCATGGGAGAGGCGTGTTCATGTGTGAGGTTCCACACAGGCTGCAGCTACAAACCCAGGTGGTTCCTGGGTACTGGCTAGGACAGGAACAGAACAGCCATTGAAACCTCTAATGAGGTGTAGGGAGACAGAGAAACAGGAGTGATGACAAACAGGTCAGGAAGAGGAGACCTGGGGGATGGGGACGTTTCCTTCGGGAAGGGCAGGGTCTCGTACTCTGCCCCTCCCACTTGAGCCTCAAGCTCTACGTTGCTGAGGATGACCTTGAGTTTCTGCCTCCACCTGGACAGTGCTGGGGTTTCCAGTATGCGTGGCCACACTGGGTTTCTGCAGTGTTGAAGATAGAGCAAACCAAGGGCTTTGTGTATGCTCAGCAAGCTCTCTATAAACCAAGCTACACCCCAGCCAAGAAAAGAATTACTAGCCTTCTGCTTGTCCCTGAGCAGGATGGTGATCTGGTCACTACAACAGGCCCAGAAAAGGACACAGCGGGACCACTGCCCTCTGCACTTGCTTGCTTCTCAGGGGAAGGAAGTCTGGAACTTTCTACAACTAGCTAGGCTGGCTCAATTTGTTTGGAGTAAACAGAGACTTCCTTAGATAATCTGATTAAATTATCCTCTTGCAACCTTAGGCAAATGGAGATGGATGTTGTACTCAATACATAACTCCCGTGTGACCAAATAAGTGGAGGACTGGCTAAGAACCACTTAAGGCTAGACAGGTGCTACTTGGCCACTCACAGAAGGCTCAGGGTGGCAGATGAATGTGATGATGCATGGGGGGGGGGAGGCTTCATAGAGAGGGAGGGGCTTTGAATTTTGGGTAACCAAGTCCCAACTGCAAAGCAAAACATCTACTGAGATACTTCCACTGTGTGGATCTATCAATCATTATGGAAGTAGGGGTATACTTCCTCTGTGTGGATCTATCATTATGGAAGTAGGGGTATACTTTCCTCGTGTGGGTCTATCATTGTAGAAGTAGGGCCACTGTCCCCCAGGATTCTCTCCACCATCTCCCAGGAGTTGCAAGGCATTGAGGGACTTTTCAGAGGAGAACAACCCAGAAGCAAGCAACTAAGACCACATCTTAAACGGGGAGAGGAAGTCTCAGGCAAAGATAGCCAGAATAACATAGAGAAAGTCCATTTAGTCAGGCTGAGGCATCACCAGCCACTGACTCCCCCTGTGGTCTCCTATGAGCGATCAACAGAGAACGCTGGTACGCAAGAGACCTTTTGAAGGCTCTGCGAGGCCCCTTGACTTTCTTACCTCTGTGTCAAAAGCTTCTCCAGGAAGCAGGCACTTGAGGATAACACCCGTGGGGTGTCGCGACAGGGAGTATCTAATAGGTGGCAAACCAGTCCTTACCTTCTACCACATTCCTGGGTAGGATCACAGATGGGGCCATAGGGTTGGGAGCAGAGGGGCCATAAGCCTAAGCATGGAGATGTGTTTGCTATTGGTCAACTTTCTGGCCTGTTGATTAGAAGAGAGATGTTACTGTGACTAAATTTTCACAGCTGGCCTGTGCAGACGAGAACAGCAAGCAGCTGCTCCTTGGGTGGTGTGTACCCTCGCCCCCACCCACGATGTACAAGGTTCCGGACTCCGTTCATATAAAAAGCGTGGAAGCACAGGCAGAGGTCCCACTGAGTCCTGTATTGATAAGGGCTCTCTACCCTGCTCAGGGTCGAATAGAAGGAAATTGAGTAGAATTTGAGACTCAGAAACTGGATGGGATTCAAACAATTAATCCTTCTTACCCAGAAGCCTGGAGTTAACTAAATGCTTTTTCTCCCTTCCCGCAAATGTTTTCCCAGACCTAAGTATGCACACGTGCACACGCATGTACACACACAATCACTTTGTTCCTGACAATAACAATACCCTATGAGCAAAAAGTTGTGAACAGAAAGGCCGGGGAGAAGTGGGTAGGGTTGCTGGCATAGTCACCTCAGGCAAAATGGGCCTGAGTCATTGAAACCATTCCCATTTTCCTGGCCCATGGCCAGAAATGATGCTAACTCTTGAAACAGCTCACAGGCGGGGTAAGTACCCAAGCCCCAAACCAAGCATACTACACTGGCTTTCACTTTCCCCAGTCCCAGGAGACACCCCACCCACCACCACCACCACCACCACCCCACCCCTGCATAGAACCCCACTTTGCCTCTCTCTTCAACTGCTCACCACCTTCTCCAAACACTAGAAACCCATTCTAGCATCCTTCTTTTTGTGGAAACCCAGAGCAGAGGGGCAGAAGGGCTCTTATTACTTCTTGTTCTTTGTCTCCCTCATCTAGAAAGCCAAGGGCTTTCAGGGGATAAATCCTTTCAGCTTTGATACCCTCTACCACTACATTTTCAAGGGTGCAGATTTGGAATGCCTTTGCAGAGCAGCGGGTGATCTCCTTGGTTATAAGCATGCATATTCCATGCTACAACCGCAAGGGCCTGGGAACCAGGGAAAGGCCCTTGTTTTAAGGCTGACCTGAGCTAATCTTGAGGGAACCATCAGAGCGACCTAAGGAGAAAACTCCCTCCCTTAAAGGGTGGCCAGCCTCTTGAATGGGTGACCTGCTCTGACTAGGTTCTGCCACAGATCCTGAGCTGGCAGATGAGTTTGGTGTGTGAGCATCAGAATGCCACACACGAGCCCTGGGGCTGTGTGAGTGAGAGTGAGATTGCCCACCAGTGACAGTGGGCATGCATGGACACACAGGTCTGCAGCTTCTGCCTCTTAGGAATGTCCTCACTGAAGATGTAGGCGAGCCATCAGCATCAGAAAGAAATGCCAATTGCTTGACTTGCCATTGACAAAGAGCCAGAGCTTGGCACTTATTTTCTTCTCACTCAGTTCTTCGAGTAGAATTTTAGTTCCTTCAGACCACAGATGATAACTTTCTGTGAGTCTCTTTCCCATTTCTAGAATTGTCGTTTGGTCCCTAAACATGGTATAACTTCTCCCTTTCAGATCAAACTGCTCTCAGTTCAAACCAGCGGAATTCTGCGCGTCTATATCTTTATGGCATTTGGGGGGCAGTGGTGGGTAGATCTAGGGGCTCCGTTGGATGGTGCTGGGCTAGGTCCTCAACCATTGGGTAGCAGGGACTTTGAAAAGCCAAAGCCTATAATTCAAAGCCTGACCAAAGCAAGCCGAGGTGCTGTGCAGCATCAAGTGGGCCCAATAAGCTTGTGGGCGGTGCCCTCTGCTGGTGATACTCGTTAAGACACCAAAAAAATACTCCAGTAGATAAAGGGGACAAAGCTATTGTCTTTTGTGCTTCTTGCTTAACAAATTGAAGAACTCTTTGCTCCTATCCACAATCAAAAGATAAGATCATTTTTAGTATCTCAATTCTGTTTCATCCACAATTCTATAATCAGGTGGCCCCCCAAATCAAACAGCATCTCAGAGCTGCAGCGTGTAACAATTAGGCAGCAAGGATGCTTAATTTATGGCCGGGGATGAGGTATGACGGCAACTCAGCTGGCTGGACCTTGGCACTTTGTCCACGTGTAATTTGCTAAATGAAGTCCTATGACCCCTGCTCTGAAGTCAGTTATAGAACTCCTTTGTGAAGCCATCCTCAGGCTTAAGCTGAATTAAACACTTTTAAAACCTGTACCTATTGGCAAAACTTTGAAGGGTTAGGTTGGTAATAATAGCTCACATTGAAGATGGAAATGCTGCTAGAAATCAAGAAATGGCACACTTGATTCTGCTGAGGTGACTTTTCCTTTTTTTTTTTTTCTCTTTCTTTGGCCCTTCTTCCTCTTCTTAATAAACCAAGGCCCATCAGCCTAGGGATGGTACCACCCATAGTGGGCCGGCTCCCCCACGTCAATCATCAGTTAAGACGATACCCCACAGATGTGGCCACAGGCCAGCCTGATCTGGGCAATCTCTCAATCCTGCCTTTTTTATACAGCAGGCCCATCAGCTTAGGGATGGCGCTGCCCAAAGTGGGCTGTGCACACATCAATCATCAGTCAAGATAATTTCTCACAGGTGTGGCAGCAGGTCCGAACACCCCAAGTCAGACTCCCTCAAATGACTCTGGGCTATCAAGTTAACAGGTAAACCTAACTAGGACAGCATATTCCAAGAATTTAAACAGCAGACACTACTTTTCTTCTTCCTTCTCTACCTCCTCCTTTTCCTTGCATGTGTACATGTATGTCTGTGTCTGTGTGGGTGCACACATTTGTACATGCAGAAACCTGAAATTGACTCAGATGCCTTCCTTCATCACTCGCCACTGTATTCTCTGAAGCAGGGTCTCTCACTGAACCCAGAGCTCACGAATTCTAAACCGCCTTGCTCCCGGCTTGCCCTGTCTCTACCTCCCATGCGCCGGGATTACCAGCAGTCACCTCATCTCCCCAACTGTGCCATGGGTTCTAAGTATTCAAACTCTGGTCTGTATGCTTGTGCAGCAAGCACTTTGCCCACCCAGCCAGCTCCACAGCCCCGTCACAGTACCGTAAAGCTGGGAGTCACCATGCGTTACAGCCAGCAAGAACATGGGAACTGAAGACCTACAGGGGCAGGGAACTGAGTCCCACCAGCCCTAAAAACAAGCAGCAGAAAACATGGCTCCTCTAAAACTTCCAGAAAAGATCACAGCTCTGTTTGACGTGTCTCTGGTGAGACCCATTCTTGACTTTTATATACAACTCTGCAAGATAACAGGTTCATCTTTTAAATCACGGGTTCTGATGGCAGTGTATACAAAACAAATTCACCTATGATTTTAAAACCCCTTAATGTCTGCTTGTCTTGGTTTGGTTTGCCTGGCTCGTCGGACAGGGTCCCAGTTAGCTTCAGCTGTCACCCTGTCACAGCCGAGCGAGGGAGTCTGAACTGGGGGATTGACTAGCTCAATTAGTCCCACTGCCACATCTGTGCGGGACTGTCTTGATTAGTGACTGATATCTCAGGATCCAGCCCACTGTGGGCGGCCCTCTCCCTATGCTGGTGGGCCTGGGTGCGTGAGAAAGCTAACTGAGCCCCAGGTTCGTATAAGTGGAAATAAACTTCTTTTCCCCCCAAATTGCTTTAGGCAATGATATTTATCACAGAAGCAGAAAGCAAACTAGAACAGACAGGGTGTCTTACATAGTGAAGGCTGGTCTTGAGCTTAATCCTCCTGCCTCAGCTTCCCAAGTGCTAAGTTACAGGAAGAGGCCCCACATTCATAACCATTGCAGATAGTTGTTTTTTTTTAACAACACCTGCTCAGCCAGTTGGCATACCATGTCCTTGCATGACATTTCTGCCTTGTATGTGGATTTCAGTTTATAATCCAGTGCTTCAAAAATGTCTCAGGCCTCAGACTGGATGTAACTTCCCTGGGGCTAGTGGAAGCGGATGATAAATTATAAAACATTAGCCTGAGCCATTAATTTCTCAGTGGAGAGGTTTGCCTCGGACCTCTAGAATAATAGTCATAATGAAATCAGTAGCTCCATCTTATCACAGATGCAGGGAGAATTAGAGCAGGCCCCAGGACACTCCAGGGCTCCCAACTTCAGTCTTGCAGAACTGTCTCAGAGACACTGGGTGCTAACACACACACACACACACTTCCAGCTTCAGTTATGCAGAAGGCGTGGGTGGTCCCTAGAAACTGGCATTGCCACAAAGCTTGGCCAATATTCCGTTGGTCCCTCGCCAGCACTCAGCCACATGGCCATGCTGCCTTTTCATTCCCAGATGAAGGATAAGAACTATGCCACAGGGCACATGGCAACAAATATCACCATCAAGATTTTATCATCAGTTATGGAGATTGGGCCCAGAGGGAGGGACCTCCAAGTCCAACCTGGCTCCCAGCCTGTCTTCCCCACAGAGGTATCCAGATGATCCCCCCTGGAACTGAGAAGATCCTGTTGCGACCCCCCTACTTCTTCAGAGTCAACCTAAAATTGCTCCTGAGTTAACTAAGACCTTTATGTCCTAAGGGCTTGCCATACATAGAGCTGTCTATCTGTTCCCAGAAGGAAGAGGGATGCCGTTGTGGTGGACCCTTCTAGCGACATCTACTACCGCTGGCTGACTGTCATTGCCCTGCCGGTCTTCTATAACTGGTGTCTACTTGTGTGCAGGTAAGAGCAGCAACATTATTTTAGGCGGCCAGGGTGGAGGGACAGGAGGGGGGAAGGCAGCCACGCCTAAGAGATAGAGTGCTGAGTCTCACCTGAGAGAGTTTCTCTCCTCTCAGCCACCGTACAGCTCTGGCACCTTAAGTCGCTGGTCCCCAACCTTCCTAATGCTGTGACCCTTTCGTGTGGCTTCTCATGTTGTGGTGACCCCCCACATGTGACCATAAAGTTATTTCGTTGATACTTCATGGGGGTAGTTTTGCTATTGCTGTGAATCGTAACATAAATGCATCTGATAGGTGACCCTGTGGCATCTCGACCCACAGGTTGAGAACTACTATATTAGGTTCTCCATTAGTAGAAACTGGTCATTTCCCAGAGGACCCTGAAGGGGCTCTGAAGCACGGGTGGGAAGGGACCTGAGCGTGAGGTGATGTTGAGGGTTCTGGCACTCTGCCATTTACATTCGGGTTCTATGAGGAAGGGGTGGGGGCTAGTCCCTGTTCTGACAGGATTAGGGAAGCATTTTGAGTAAACTTGCTATGTAGAGTTAGCACTCAGTGAAGGCACAGTGGGAGCACGGCTCTCAGAGGCTGAATTCTGGGTTTCTGGTTTTCTAAGCAGGCTGCCGTGTTAGAATAAGCAGATGTGGGCTTTGGGGATGCTCCTAGGTTAGATGGGGGCTGTTGTTCTTCTGGAGAAGATCAGAGGCATTCAAGTTTTCCCTGGGTGAGCTGGTGAAAAAAGGAAAGAACATGGCAGGACCCTTGCTAGCAAGTGGGTTGGTGTAGCCCGGGCTCTGGGGGTGCAGAAATGGGAGCCACAGGACCGAGCTGTAACTTTCTTGTAAGCATTCTTTCCTGGGAAGACTGCTGCAGTGGGTACAGGGATAAGATGCCCCAGGAGGGGGCATTGGCAGAGCCTTTCCTAAGGAAGCATGCAGGGTGTGCCAGCAGGGACAGCCATGTAGACCTTCAGAGAACTCTTAAAATACATCGCCAGGTAAGGAAACAGATGAAGGGGCTCCCTCCCCGAGCTTGTCTATAGGGTGCAGGCTGCTGAGTGAACCCCAGACTCCACTGTTCCTCTCTGAAGGTAAGGAAGGGGATTAAAGGTCCTTGCTAGCAGGCCTCCATGATAAGGATACAGGGTTTATGACTCCTCCTAGAGGAGGCACAGGGCTCATGGATGTCCCTAAGTAAGCCTACAGGGAAGTTATGCAATGGCGGGTCTCTGTACTTGTGAAAGCAAGCTGGACAGGAGACAGAGGATCTCCTGAACCCATCAGGATACAGCTCTTTGAGGGAGACTGTACCTTACCGTGATGCAGGTGAGAGCCCTCTTCTTCTAGTAGACAGTAGGCCAGGGATGTTCCCGAGAAAGCCTGCAAGGCAGACACGGCTGCTCTGGGACGCTTTGGGGACATTCCTGACCATGTTCCTCAACTGGATAGGCTCACAGGAGTCCTATGCTACCTGCAGCTAGTCAGCTTTCCATTGATATGACCAAAGACCCAAGGTAAACAATATAAAAGAAAGGAAAATTATTCCGGCTCAGAGTTTCAGAGAGTTCAGACAATGGTTCCTTAGTGTCATTGTTCTGGGCCAACTGACAAAACAAAACAAGACCTCATGACCAGGAAGTAAAAATAGAAAAAGGGACCAGGCAGAGACCCAATATTCCTTTTAAGGCAAACCCTCTTAAACCTAAGTTCCACTGGGCACTACCGACTAAAGGTTCTACCACTTCCCAGTCAGGCTACAGCCTGGTGGCCAAGCCTTTAGCACACAAGCCTGTGGTGGACACCCAAAGTCTAACACCATATAAGTGAAGTGGAAGCTTGGGGATTCTGTCTCCAAAGGAAAGAACATGCGAGGTGGGGGGCTTCCTGACAAACGGGCAAGGTGGTAACACTGCTCCCAATGTGTGATCTAGAATGTGAGAACACAGGTGTCAGCCAAGGTTCTTTCCCAAGCATCCAGAAGACTTGAATGGCTGAGCAGCCTGATGTTCTTTGGAGGTAAGAAGGAAAGCTTGGGGTGCTGTCTCTGTGAGAAGCAGCAAACACAAAGGGGTAAAGGGTAGAAAAATATTTCCTGGCTTATTTAAGTTGGAATCTGAGTCTAGAAAGGACAGGTTCTTGACCCCTTTGCCTAATATCAATCGCAGCTGCTTGTTTGATTGGGTGGATGGTTAGTTGGTTGATTGCGTAGGTGGTTGTTTGTTCGTTTGGGTGGTTGGCTGGTAGGTTGGCTGGAGTGTTTGTTTGTTTTGAGTTCTACCATCAACCTTCACACTACACATCTAACTCCCCAGCTCTTCTTCCTAGGAGGCCAATGACTGTGGGAGAACATAGGTTCTCTGAGCCTGGAGTGATTCCACTGCCTAGCTACGGGGCAGCTTTTTCCTGGACACACACACACACACACACACACACACACACACACCTCTACTAACTCCAGAAAGGGAGCCCATGACAGATCAAAGTAATGATGGCACCAAAGTCCAACTTGGTGAACCAAGGAGTTTTACTGGGGTTACTTACAGGAACACGATGGGTGAGGAGCGACTTACAGTTACAGAAATGACAGTTGTATCACCAACACCCACCCCAACATGGGCGACAGCTCGTGAAAACTGGGAACCTGGAACACACTGCACAGCCTGCCGATGGCTCAGCAGGTTGGAGAGTGTCCTTTCCCAGTGGCTCTGGTGATCTGAGCCTCTTCAAGACAGCTCAGCCAGTCTCTGCTTCTTCTAAGAGGTTTCATTGGTCTCTACCTCTTCCAGCCTGCTTGGCTTGTCTGAGAATTTTCCTTGTAGCTTGGCTCGTCTGAGAGTGATTCTCAGTGGTCTTTATTGGTTTTGTTTGTACACTCTTTGAGGAGAGAGGTCCTGGGGAATATGGTCAGTTTTAAGGACTTCCTGAAGCTACTTGGAGTTGTTTCCTCCCCTTCTTAATGAGCTTCCATGCAATGTTTTGCCTTCGTTTAGAACACTGGTTGCTTTGCCTCTATAAAAATCCTATATTAAGAGATCCCTCCCAAAACATACCATTCTAACGTCTGTGGAAACTGCTACATTACCTGTGTAACACAGCAGGAAGAACTGCTACTAGATACAGTGTATCTATTTGCATCACAGGGAGGAAGGGTTCTGGGCTCTGACACTCAGCCATCTTGTCCCATCTCACACTTGGATTCTTCAGGGCCTGTTTCGATGAACTTCAGTCGGAGCACCTGATGCTGTGGCTGGTCCTGGACTACTCTGCAGATGTCATTTATGCTGTAGACTTGCTGGTTCGAGCCCGGACAGGTAAGCGTGCCCCAAGCCCAAGGACAAAACTAGGCCAAGCCATAGAGCCTCAGTAGGGGGACCATAGGGTACTCAGGAAGATCCACGGTAGTGGGCTGGATGTTGCCTAGCTTTGAGCACGATGTGCTTTGGAGATCTGGAGACCTACCAAATAGAGTGGGTACTGGTATCTTGATGCTCAGTATGCTAAATCCTTCAACAAGACCTGAACAGGGGTTAAAACACCTGGGATTTGGGATCTGCTGTCCCAGTGTTTAATGAACAAATCAAGCTGGCTCTCTGGACCTCATTTTTGTCACTTGTGACATAAGGCTAAGCTGCCATCTCAAAAGACCCTTCCAGTACTGCCTATGTGAGGTGGAACTCAATTCAATCTGGGCATACCTCTCCTCAGAAACATGGAAGATCCAGGAACACTGCTCCATCATGCTCAGAGGAGATTTACAATTTATTTATATTATTATTATTTTTAAAGATTTTATTTTATTTTCAATTAAGTGATGTGTGTGCCTATGAGTGGGTTTGTGCACATGAGTGTAGTGCCTATGGAGGCCAGAAGAGGGCACTAGACCCTTCACAGAGCTGGAGTTACAGGCACTTGTGAGCTACTAGACACAGGTACTGGGAACTAAATTCAGGTCCTCTGAAAGATCAGCAAGTGCTCTTAACTGCTGAGTCATCTCTCCAGCCCTTCAAAGAAGTTTTAACATGTAAAGACCTGAAATTCAAAACAGGGCCTAGGAAGATGATGTGTTCTTCCAAACCCCCAAAATAACCACATGGAAATTGTATTAATTAGATTACTGTCTGGCCCATTATATATCTAGCCTCCTCTTGGCTAACTCTTGCATCTTGATTCAACCCATTTCTAATATTCAGTGTAGAACCACAAGGCCGTGGCTTATCAGGAAAGATTCAACATGTCTGACTCTGGTGACTTCATGGCGGCTCTCCCTTCCTGCCTCCTTCCTCCTAGAATTCTGTTCTGTCTACTCTGCCCGCCTAAGGGCTGCTCTACCAAAAGGCCAAGGCAGCTTCTTTATTCAACCAATGAAATCAACACAAATATAGAAGGGCCTCCTACACCACTTGGATACTGTCTGTGGCAAAGCCAGATTCAACAGGAAGTGAGGGGGGAGAGGTCAAGAAACTAGGTGGCCATGATCATAGTCCAAGAGGAAAAGATCTTCAGACTTGGGAGAATCGTAAAAGGGTGAGGAGCACACAAGCCAGGATGCTCCACAAAGCACTCCATAAACACAGGCACAAGCAGCCAAGAGATCTCTCAGTCCTGCACCTGGAGATCCAGCTGACTAAGTAGAAAACACTTGACAACAGTTTCTGTGCTGAACATTTAGAGGTTTTATTCTTCCTGTCATTATTCCCACACGGCACAACATGACTTCACAGCATTTGTGCTGTGTGTATTGGGTACTGTGAAAATCCCGGGGAGAATTTAAAACAGTCAAGAGGACATGCTTGGGTAATATGCAAATATGGCATCGTTCTATAAGAGGTGCTTAAGCATCTAAAGATTTTGGTTTCCTTGGGAGGAAAGAGATTAAGGGAATCCTGGAACCAATCCCCTGGAGATCCAGAAGGACAATTATTTAACAAGAATGCCTTGAGAAAAGGGGGAGCTGGAACTTGTACGGGTCAGCAGCGGTGATACCCTGAACTTATGAAAGTGCCTCACGGCCTGAGCTCTAGGGGACAAGCCCTGAAATGTTTTACTGGACACCATTACGGGTGAGACCAGTTTGGTAGACTTTTACCTGAGCTTTTAAAGTTTGATGATTAATAGTTTCAAGTATACACATAAGAAACCCCAGAGAGAATAGCATTAGGAATGCTCATGTTCCCACCCCCAATCTCAATTAGGCACACTCTCTAATATCTGTTTGTCTTTTAAAATTTAATCTTCATGCTTTGCTGTCATCTAATATCCAGTCTATCTTCAAAGTTATTCAATCAATTTATAACTTTAAACCTGAATAGAGAACTGGGAATACAGATCAGTTATGGAACCCTAGCTTAAACAAGGCCTGGGCTCAATTCCCAGCAGAAAAAAAAATTAAACAGAAGGGATTAGAACATTATAGAAAACATAGCAGAGTGAGTTCCACCATTAGCATGTTATGTCTGATATTGTTATCACTGCCTGTTGTGTAACTATGATGGGAAATTCCTTTCTATAGTCAATTTAAGCCTCTTGGATGCCCAAGTGATTTCCCTCATCTCCCTCCTTAGGTTTCCTTGAGCAAGGCTTAATGGTCAGAGATACGAAGAGGCTGTGGAAACATTATACAAAGACCCTGCACTTCAAGCTGGACATCCTGTCTCTCCTCCCCACAGATCTGGCTTATTTAAAGTTTGGAGTAAACTGCCCAGAACTGAGGTTCAACCGTCTACTGAAGTTCTCTCGACTCTTTGAATTCTTTGACCGCACAGAGACCAGGACCAACTACCCCAATGTGTTCAGGATAGGGAACTTGGTTCTGTACATCCTCATCATCATCCATTGGAATGCCTGCATCTACTTTGCCATTTCTAAGTTCATTGGTTTTGGGACAGACTCCTGGGTCTATCCAAACATCTCCAAGCCAGAGTATGGGCGTCTCTCCAGGAAGTACATTTACAGTCTCTACTGGTCCACCTTGACCCTGACCACCATTGGTGAGACCCCACCCCCTGTGAAAGATGAGGAGTATCTCTTTGTGGTCATAGACTTCCTGGTGGGTGTTCTGATCTTTGCCACTATAGTAGGCAATGTGGGCTCCATGATTTCCAACATGAATGCTTCGAGGGCAGAGTTCCAGGCTAAGATTGACTCCATCAAGCAGTACATGCAGTTCCGGAAGGTAACCAAGGACTTGGAGACTCGGGTTATCCGGTGGTTTGACTACCTGTGGGCTAACAGGAAGACGGTGGATGAAAAGGAAGTGCTCAAGAGTCTCCCGGACAAGCTGAAGGCTGAAATCGCCATCAACGTGCACCTGGACACCCTGAAGAAAGTCCGAATCTTCCAGGACTGTGAGGCAGGGCTGTTGGTGGAGCTGGTACTGAAGCTTCGTCCCACTGTGTTCAGCCCTGGGGACTACATATGCAAAAAGGGGGACATCGGAAGGGAGATGTACATCATCAAGGAGGGCAAGCTGGCTGTGGTGGCCGATGACGGCGTTACCCAGTTTGTGGTCCTCAGTGATGGCAGTTACTTTGGGGAGATCAGCATCTTAAACATCAAGGGGAGCAAGTCGGGTAACCGCAGGACGGCCAACATCAGGAGCATCGGCTACTCAGACCTGTTCTGCCTCTCCAAGGACGATCTGATGGAAGCCCTCACCGAGTACCCAGAAGCTAAGAAGGCCCTGGAGGAAAAGGGTCGGCAGATTCTGATGAAGGACAACCTAATTGATGACGACCTGGCCAAGACTAGGGAAGATGCCAGAGACATTGAGGAGAAGGTGGAATACCTGGAGTCATCCTTGGACGCCCTGCAGACCAGGTTTGCACGGCTCCTGGCTGAGTACAGCGCCTCGCAGATGAAACTGAAACAGCGCCTCAGCCAGCTGGAGAGCCAGATGAACGGGAGGGGTCGTGGCTTCTCACCTGCTGGGGAGACTTCCGGGGATATGGCAAAGACAGAGTGAGAAGTGCAGGCGACTGTCTGCCTCCCGCCTCCCAGGACCAACTGTCAGTGAGACACTATCTGCCGCCATATGGCACAGGGCTGGTCATCCTTCACAAGTGATATGACTGCAAGAGAGTCTTGGTTTCCTCGTCTAGGAAATGGGAGTCATGGGTGTCGGCTCCGTAGAGTTCCAGATTATCGTGAGGTCTACGTGATACATGGCAAGGGGTGGGGAAAAGCATGGTGTGCTGCCAATTAAGTGTATGATAGTATGTGTACAGGATATGTGTGTATGTGCAGTTTTCTGTAGAGGTCAAACAAGAGTGCTGGATCCCCTGGACTGGAGTTACATACCACCCAGTGTGGGTGCTGGGATCCTGTCTTAGTTCAGGCTTACACATCCACATCGCAGTCCATCACTGAAGAAACTCAAATGAGTTCTTGAGGGCAAGAACCAAACAGGGCAGGAACCTGGAGGCAGGAACTGATGCTGCCATGGGTGGGTGCTGCTTACTGGCTTGTTCTTCACAGCTCGCTAATCCTGCTTTCATATAGAACCCAGGGCCGCCAGCCTAGGAGTGGTTCCACCTACAGTGGGGTGGACCCTCCTACATCCATCACTAATTAAGAAGATGTAAAAAAAAATGCATTCCAGGCTTGCCTACAGCTGAGTCTTATGGACGAATTTGCTCAGCTGAGCCTCCCCCCTCTCAGATGACTCTAGCTTGTGTCGATTAAAAAAAAAACAAAACAAAACAACCAGCATAGATCCAAATTTGCAGCCCTTTCCATATTAGGTGGAGTGGAAGGTCTTGCTGTGTTGCTCAGTCCAGCCTTCAACTCCCTTGCTCAAGCGATGTTCACGTACCAGCCTCCCAAGAAGCAGGGACCAAAGGCATACTCCCGTTTCCGGCCCGATTATTTTCTGTGAAATCCAGGAGGAGATGATTAAGCCGCAGCCTAGCTTTCTTACCCACTCCATCTGATTGTGGAGACACAAGGGGGTCTGGGGATATAGGTCAGTGATGAAGCCCTTCCCTAGTGTGAGCAACAGCTCTGGCTCCGCACCCTAGTGCCCCCCCCAAACAAACACACAGAATGGAGAAGACAACAGAAGGCCATTCACACAAGCTTGTACCTTAAGTTCAGCTTTACACAGGACAGTTTGGGCTGCGTGCTGGAGCCTGGCATCTCCCCATACGTGTGCTTACTGGGACCCTGGAAACGCCGGCTTTGTCAAGTCACAGCATTGTGAGATGGAGAGCCCTTCAAGTCAGGGTAGCAAATCTAGATTCTCTGCCTTCCGGTTACCGTGTCTTCTGTTCGCTTAATGGGGTGGGATGTCTCGTTTCTTCTCATTGGTCGATGGGTTGAAAGTCATCTTCCCGTCTTCCTAGAAGTCAGACCTTGAGTAAGGGCTTCTCCTGGACACCAGAGGTATAGTAATTGGGAATTTCCTAGAAACTGGCAAGCATAGGAGTTTGGGCAATATCCAAAAAGACTGATCCTAGGAGTCTAACGTGGAGGCTAGATCCAGCTGTCACTAAAGGAGTAGCCTGTTACTACTAGAGTCACATAACTCCCTGTCGCTACCCGTTCCAGCTCAAAGTGGAGAGCCATGTTTAAGTGAGACTTCCAGGTGGAAAGGTGGGGACAGTGGCCGAAGATTTAAGAGCAGATGACCAGGGCTGGATGGCTCAGTGGTTAAGACCACGTGCTGCTCTTCCAGAGGACCTGGGTTGGTTTCTTGGCACTCCAATGGTGGATTACAGTAATCTACAGTTCTATTTCTTGGGTATCCAGTGCCCTCTTCTAGTTTCCATAGACACTAGACACACGCATGGTCCACAGGTATACAGACATACAGGCGAAACACCCATGCTCATAAAATACATATTTTTAAGCTGAAAACTGAAACTTAAAAGCTGAGACCCATGGGTAAATGCCCTTGTGACCTGCACCTGTTACCACTTCTGCACACCTGAAGAAGTTTTAAGTCCCACATGGAACTGCATCTTCAGGCAAAAGCTCTTAGCTAGCTAGCTCTTCGCTCTTGAAACATTGCAAGAGCTGTTTTTTAAGTAGCAACCAGAACTCCGTTCAGAGTTTCACCCTTGGGCTCTGCGATTGTGAGCCAGGTCTTCAGTGTTCCACTTTCAATGCGTGCTGGAAGTTCTTTCTTCCCTCCCCATCCTTAGCCCTCCTTTCTCTTTCCTTCCTTCCTCTCCATCCTTCTATTGCTCTCCCTCTCCCTCCTCCTCCTTTCTAGCAAGCACAACTCTCCTGACCCTTGCTCTGAGACAATGTTGAAGCCAAATGCTATAATCTATAAATGGGTCCTGATGTAGTTCATACAAGAGCTACTCTGTTCAATTATGCATTTGGGTCTCTTCTTATGGGTCACATGACCATTTCTTGCGGGTCCTCTGCTGTTTAATGTTTTTAAATGGTTAGAAGATCTATCAAAGAGCATAGATTCAACTTCATATCATCAGCAAAATGTAATCAGCAATGTTTTATATTTTATAAAATTGAATATTTATAACAATGAATATATTCTAACAGCCTTAGCTATCAATTATGCATATATCCATATTTATATAGGAAAGATAAAGACCTGAATTAAAATCTGTGAACAACTCCTGTTTCAACTCTTGTTGTAAGGGAAGAGTCAGCACCAGGATGCCTTCCTAGGACAATGGCTTCTCTGGAAAGATTGGATGATGATGAACAAGGGATAGGACAGACACAGCCAGAAGTGAAGAAACAGCACCCTGGGTACACAGAGACATGCGCAGATGCTTACTGTAGCCTTGGTTCTAAAGAACAAAACAGAACTGAACTATCAGAATGCAAGAACAAAGGAAAACTATATGACACACTAGGTGCTGGACCAAAGAAAATTTCTCTGAGGGCGTTGGCAGCGCGGCAGACTGAAACAACAGAGATGGAGGTGAATGTTACTGAGTGGTAAGTACACGAAGGAGCTATCCACCCCGGGTCTGGAGCTGAAAGAAGAAAGATGCTCAGAGGGGTTGCCCCAGCAACTAGAACGTACACCTTCAAGGGTGAGTTACTGTTGGCCGCATCTGATAATCCAGGGACTTAGAGACATCTGTAAACAAAGATATTTGGGCAATATTTCAGGAGTGGCATTGCTCTACAGAAGAAAGAGGTTCTAGAGACTCAGAATGAAGCTAGAAGCGGCTGCCTCCGCTCGATGAAGATGTGGCACTGCCTCTGGGCCTGGTGGTCCTTAGGCTGTATGACCAGAGAATCGTGCAGATGAGCAGAAGAAAGTCCCCTCTCCCTTCCCTCTGCCTTCCAGGCTCCCCCAGCTGCCTCTCAGAGAAAGTTCTAGAAGAATGAGGACAGTGAGAAGAACTTTGAATTTGACTGACAATATCTACCACATATGGCCCCACCCTTCAAGCATCTGGATCATGCTCAGGAAAGAGTCCTAAATAAATAATTCAGCAGTTAAGCTGACTATTCACATAAATCATATACACAAATGTTTATAGTTAGCTTATTTATAAACACACACGCATACATACACACAAACCCTGATGCAACTATGTTGTCACTCAACAGGTAGAGGGCAGAAAAGCATATCCACGCAATCCAGTACTGCTCAGCATAAAAGTGAACAAGCTGCTGTAACTGACTCATGTGAAAACATTTTGCTGACATGGCATTCTAGAAAAAGTAAAACTTAAAGATGAAAAGGATCTCAGTGGTGGTCAGGAGGTGGGAGAGGCTGGGTAGACGGTTACAAAGGAGGAATTCCTACTGTGACTTTTTTTAATGGTACTGGTATTGTAGACACACGACCTTATACATTTGCCTGAACTCTCATAACTATACATCATAAAGAGCCAACTGTAATCCCAGCACGTGGGAGATGAAGGCAAAAAACCAGACATTCTAGGCCAACCTCAGCTACATACAGAATTTGAGAGTAGTCTGAGCTACATGAAGCCCTATCTCTAAGAAAAAAAGAGCAAACTTTAGTGAAAACAAACTTTTCAATATCAACAAAGATATAAGGGCATGCCAGGAAGGAAAGAAGAGTCTAACAAGTGAATCTATCTGTATTCCAAGCACAGGGTATAGTCTCATTGAAGATAAAGGGGAAAATGACAGCTAAGGTACCTTTTAAAACTGTAAAACAAGGCCAAAGACAGAAGAGAGTGGTGTGAACACACACTAGAGTTGTATATTATTTAACATGGTGGTATAGGTGAATAATTCTGAAATTACATGTATAATGTGTGGGTGAGTGGGTAGATGGATGGATGGAGGTTGGTAAAAATGAAAGACAAGCTTACCATGGAGAAAAAGGATTCAAATAAGTAAGGGGATGTTCTAGTTTCATTTCTGTTGCTGAGATAAAATGCCCTGACAAAAAAAGTTACTTAAAAAAAGAAAGGGATGGGGCTGGAGAGATGGCTCAGTGGATAAGAGCATTGCCTGCTCTTCCAAAGGTCCTGAGTTCAATTCCCAGCAACCACATGGTGGCTCACAACCATCTGTAATGAGGTCTGGTGCCCTCTTCTGGCCTGCAGACATATACACAGACAGAATATTGTATACATAATAAATAAATAAATAAAAAGAAAGGGATTTATTTCAGTTCACAATTCCAGATTATACTCAAGGCAGGAACTTCAACAGCTAACCACATCCCATCCACAATCAAGAGCAGAGAGAAATGGATGCATACATATTTCCTTGCTTGCTTGTTCCCAGCTTGACCTCTCCACTCTTATACAATTTGGATAGCCTGCCCATGGAATGATGCCACCCACCGTGGGCTGCATCTTCACACCTCAGTCAGCCCCCTACAACCCAGTGTAGGACTGCTGAGGCATCCAGCTTCATGGGCTGAGATGCTAACAGGTTCTCAGCCTCTGTAGCATGCCTGTCGTGTGTGTGTGTGTGTGTGTGTGTGTGTGTGTGTGTGTGTTTACACATGCATGGATATGTTAGTATATTATATATTCTATCAGTTAATTCCTCTAGAGAATCTTGCCTAAAATATTCTTCCTCCATAAAAGTTGCTGAGGTTGTTTGGCTTCCTGAGTTGGCTGCCAGCAGTCACAATGCCCTAATGACTCGTAAGTCACATTCGTGAAGACAGCACTGGTGCCAGAGCAAATGGACCGCAACCCTGGGTGATGAGTGCAGCATGAATTTCCTTCCTCCTCTGCCACATCCTGCAAGGATGCTCCTGGCAGGTGTGGATCTGGGCACTGCTTTTGGTTTTCTCTTCCCCTTGATGTCAGAGCTCTGCAGCCTCTAGACAGAACCTGGGGGTTGGGAAGATACTTTTGCTGCATCATCATCTGTCCTAAATGAGATAGCCACCCTCCTATTTGTGAACTTTGTCATATCCGGTTTCAGGGTGGAGACACAGGGGGAATGAATGGGAAAAGGGAAATGGGAACTCTAGCCTTCGACTAAGCTGCTGATTCCCAGGACAAGGTCACTCATAATAGGTGGTCATCCGTGCAAAAGCAAAACTAAATATATAGATCTTCAGGACTAATATTTAACACACACATCTGGTATTCAAACTTTCTCTCCAATTTGACACTGCTTCATATAATGGAGTGGTACAATGGAACCAGTCATATTTTTCTGATTTCTAACCATACTAAGGAAGGGTCATCTTCTACAAAAGTTTTCTATGTAGAGGGACTATTAGGTGCCATCAAGCTTACCCCAGGGACTGTTTAGATTGCTCACTGCTTATAGTCTATAATGTCATTAGAAGCATGGACAGTGTCCCCTCCAATTTGGCAGACTGCTCACTCTTTGGCTGGGAGCCAGAGGAAAACTTACCCTCTCTTTAGTGACCATGTGTGTTCAGGGATACCGCATATGACCGCACTAGCTGGACACTTCCACCAATGCATGCCTTTGAAAGAGGCATTCTTGCTTTCTCGGATTGTTTGATTGTGTTGATTTTGCTGATGTTCCAGCAGATGGCAGTAGAGGGTCCTCAGCTAATCTAAGCAATTTTTCATGAAATATTGTCCTCAAAAAATTCACTTTAAAAGTCTTATCCAGATGGTGTGGCTGTGTGTTGCTCCCTTTCCCACAGCCATGAAGACAGGGGTTCTTCTTCAAACTATTTGTCTGTTTTTATTATATATGTGTTTTGCTTGCATGAATGTGTGTGCCTGATACCCACAGAGACCAGAAGAGGGTGCTAGATCCCCTGAAATGGGAATTACAGATACCTGAGACCCACCATCTGAGTGCTGGGAATTGAACCTAGGTCCCCTGCAAGAGCAACAAATGCTGTTAACTGCTAAATCATCTCTCCAGCCCCAAGACATGGGTTATTAATCAGATGTCACTGTTCAACTGCCCCAGAGTGCTGCAGCGACTCTTCAAAATAATATTCTCCATTTCTGAGCTCTTTGGCATATATTTAACTTTGACAGTACTAGTAGCTGGTTGATAACTTAATGTCTCAAAATCAGAAGTAGGTTGAAACTCCTTAAGATATGCAATATTGCAAGAAAAAATAATCAAGCTATCGTTTCTATAGACAAAGGAATAATGAGACATAAAAGCCTTAAAGCCATCAAAGAATTTCATTTTCCAAAATCAAAGTGGTTGTTTTTCCACAAATTTGCATATTTTAGTGTCTTGACAGTCCTACCTGACTGGAAATTTAAAACATCACTTTCATATTGGACACTTTGTAGTCCTCATTTGAAAGCATAGCTTTGTTCTTTGTCATTTGTCCTGAGAAATAAATATTGCTGGTTTGGGGGGCATACAGAGGCAGGAGGATGGCAAGTTTGAGATCAGTCTGGAGTAATTAGTAAATTTTATTTTAGTAAAATTATTAGTAACTTTATTTTCAATAAAGAAAAGAAAAATAGCAAAGATAAGAGAAAGGAAAGGAATAAGACATTATCAAGTCAAGCATTAACAAATGCTATTTGCCCTGCTGCTGGGGGCTGGCCACCACCGTGTTGAACTGTTGAGATACCCACTTCAGCTGCAGAGCAGTGAACAGACTCTCCCACTTTGTTCAGAGAAATGATGGTTCTGTATTCCAGGGCTCCTCTGCAGTGGATGCAGCCAATCTTAGAGAGGAAATATCAGGAGAAAACTTTGCTGTTCCCAGAAGTTCCATCAGCAATGTATCCTGGGTCCGGGTTCTGAGACTATTGTGGGCTGGTAATGTCACAGCCAGTAGGTGACCCCAGGACTGCTGCATCTGTTTGTCTCTGGCACAGAGCAAGGGATCGCAGGTCAGCCAGGTCCCAAGGCTCCTGTGGTTATGCTTCCTGCCTGGGATCCAGCTAGTAGAAAAGAAAGAAGGGATGGAGGAGGGAAAGAGGG